GGCCAAAAAGTCTGAAAATTTAATACAAGCTTTCTAATACATTTTTACAATATCAGTCAAAAAATTTTAAAAATACATATGCATGATTTTTTATTATAAGCATTTGAAGTTCGAATTTTGACAACATTTGTCAAAATCTCGAAAAGTATCAATCATTGGAATTAAAAAATTATAAAATGTTCAGTTTTTATAATTATAAGAGTTGAAAATTTAAAACAAAGATTATCTTAAATAATTCATACTGTAACCAAAAAATCTAAAAAATATATAAACTCATTTATTTTTTACAGACATTTTAAATTTAAATTTGGACAAAATTACATATATAACCAAGAATAACGATTTTAGTTATTTTGTTGTAATTTAAAAGTATTATTTGCTGGTACCTATATGGAATTTTTAGAGTATATTATTATATTGTATACACACGCAATGGCATTTTCAAATGTAATTTTTTGGGAAAAATGAATTAAAACAACTGTAGTAAATATAGTAAATACTAATGCCTACTACTAAATGTAATTATTTTATTCACAATAATATCATCAAATACACTTAGTAAGATATTATAGACTGACTGACCGTCTTCGCTCAGAATCGTTTTTCTTATATACAATGATATTATATCATTGGATTCAAATTTAATATCATTCATTATACAGTGACCTACTTGTAATCTACTGTACAGCAGAGTGACATCCACTTATCCGCCCTTTTTTTTCTAATCAAGCTATGTATTTACTCTTATAATTGTTATTTATTATAAACTAAAATTTTAAATTGAGGTTAAGTTTTTATTTAATAACGTGGGTGGAGGCAATTCTTACAAGAATTTGTACAGTTTACAGTTATAATAAAATAATTTAATGTATTAATCATAGGTACTATGCACTTATATAATAAATCACAACAATAGTCAGTTTTCTTATAAAATAGGTATATACAAGTACAGGCCGAAACCGTTGGTGGCCACATGGTGGTAACCGTTGGTGGCGCAACAACCTAGTGTAGCGAAATAGCGCCGACAGTCTTGGTACCTATCGTGATTCGTGGCGGTAAAAGCATTCGGACCCAATTCCCACAGATATAATATTATATCTATATTAGCCATTAGGTATGTGGGTATGTCTATGAGTCTATGACGTTCTGAGTGTTCGGACCCGACAGCGAAAAAAGTTAAGTTACCGCGGCAGTCCGCCGTGTGCGAGACAAGCCCGCGGTTTGGACAATATTAATTATTAGGTATTACAAAGTACGGTTTAAGATATTATCAGGCACGGCGCCAAGGGGGGCAAGGTGGGGCTCTAGCCCCCCCAGAAAACAGATCAGCCCCCTCGCCAGCCCCCCCCCCCCACTGAAAAATATGTACGATATAATTAATGTTTGTTGTATACAGTTAAAAATATTTTTAGTTGACTTATTATTTTAAATATGTTTATGTTTGATTAACACAATACTATTGTGTAAGGAGTTGGTATTCGTACCTACCTACTTATATTAGTTTAGTAATTAGCATGACAAATTTCTTATTTCAAATAATTAAATAATTTATTCAATTTTCTTATTTTGTTATTTTTATAATCTTATTTGTCATGGTAATTAGTTCACATATTACTTGATAATTAATAAAAAAAGATTTCTTAAAGTATCTATGTTTTAATGTATATATATGAACTATTTTAACCTCCAAAATTTAACAAAAAATATAAAGTAGGTATTTCAATAGTCAATACATACACTACTATGCAAATACCAATTTAAAAATGTATTGAATTAAAAATTTGAAATGTACTAGTTAAATATAAGGTAGGTAATCAAAAGTTTTTATTTAAAACAAATTGTATTCCTACTGATATCAGTGCAATTGTATACATTTTTGTTAACTTCTTCAATCATTTACTGTATGGTGCATAAACAGATATTCTATAAAAAATCAATATTTAGCTCATAAAGAAATTATTATTTTTGTATATCATATTATCATTATGAATATAGTTGTTGAAGGTCTTAGGTCTGTGATTAAACATTTTCTTACATATTACATAAGGTACAAAAAAAATATTTGATATTATTCTTAAAACATTTTTAACTATTCAAAAGTTTGTAAATATTATATGTTTAGACGTTTAGAGCATACAATATAAAACGATTAAAACGTATGTACTATATAGCTAATAGCTATATTATGTTATATGATACGAAAATATTTATATTTAATTTAAATAACCCCAGCATTTGTTGAAACAATTTTAGCCTATGTAAAAAAAATATTTCCCCCACTCTGCCCCCCCTGGAAAAAAATTCTAGTGCCGTGCCTGGATATTATACATAAATTCTGTACATAGTATTTATACAAAATATGTGAAATGGTAGATATTTTAACGGTTATTCTCCTAAAGTACCTACTCATCCAATCTTTTAGAGGTAGGTATCTTTTTTCAATGATCGAGTATAAATTAGAGTATAATATCGCGGAGGTTTAAATATAGTTAAGATTCTGTAGGTTAAAAAACAATTGGATCACACATGAATTTGGTTTCGTCACACGAAAATTTAACATTTTTTGTTTATTTAAAGTTGCTATTGATTACAGAAAATAAAATTGTTATTAATATGATCAGATAAAATTTGAGACGCGTATTTTATATTTGGTCAAAACAATACATATTACTGTGTTAAAATCGTATATTCTTATATGTACCTTATTTAAATTTAACTGAGTATAAGACGGAACAAATTAACAATAATTATTCATTTGTAACAAGTCGGGGAATCGGATAGTACCTATATAGATAAAATTAAAGCTAGTAATAATAATAATACCTATAATAATAATTTTATTCAGCAATAATTGTTTGAAACAGGAGATATATACATATTTCAATACCTATTTGTGATTAAATTGCTTGGCCCAACACTAAGGATAAGTTCCTTGTTTTGTTGGGCGAGAGTCTCTAAGAGAATAAAATAAAAATTATTTAATAAGAGGACGTGATACCCGCATGTGTTGTCTCCGTCTTACAAGTGCGTAACATACCACATTTTACGGTCGGCAGAACACGTGTAGCACATAGTAGATTAAATCATGTCGCAGTCGCACACTGCACAGTATAAAAATAGATAACAAACAACTAATAACTACAAGAACCGTCACTCAGTAACTGTATATTCCTAAAATAGGTAGTGAAAACCATAAATCGATAATAAATAAGACAAATATAAGTAATAACGTGTATACCACAACAATTTCTCATACAAATAGTGATGGGGATAGCCATTAGCCAATAATCCATTATCAATAATATGAAAATATAACATTTTATTTATAATATTCCTTCTTGACGGTCGACGCGTGGACATCATTTAATCGTTCAACCACTTTATCGTGAGGACGTACCTATTATTTTAATAAGTGCGCTTAAAATATAAAATGGAACACGATGGATTTAGCTATAAATCAAACGGTGTAAAAAACAACGTTCAGTAAGTACCGATTTACATTATTTGCATTTATGTAGTAGCCAGTAGGCAGTTTGTTGCTTGCACATTTAATACAATTTATGGATCATGGTAGTATGGTATAGAAAGAAGGGATGTAGTGGCCTAAAACTGTAAACACCCCCATACATTTACTTTATTCATTATGTTCTACAACATATTCAAACAATTCTAGAATCTATCAAAACAATATACAAATTAAAACAAATAGGTAGCATTGTAACTGGAATTATAAAATAACAATTACAACATTTTTCACCTTGTTTTTTGATACCTACAAGGGAAATAGGACAGTTACCTACAAGAAAAATCTTAAAAATATTTTATTGATTGCTCATATTCAAAAAAAAAATTTTGTTATTTCATTATAAGAGAATATTATGCCTTACCTATACAGTTATACGTACAAGTGTATAACAATGAGTGATTTCCTTTTTTTTGTCTTATTTAATTAATCTCTATATAATACAAAAAACAACTTTACGTCATTGTGTTATGACAGTACACATGTATGATCAAAGGGCATTTTTAGGCACTTTCGGTAATTTTTAGAGCATTGTTCATACTTTTTAGGGTAATATCTACCTAGATATCTAGTTAATATGTTGTGTGATGACCAGGGCTCGTAACTTCATGCACTAAAAAATGCATAAATAAGCATGCATTCATGCACTAAAAATTGTCAAAATATGCATTAAAATATGCACTTAAAAGTTCAAAAATATGCATTTATATGCATTAACATTTTTAAATTATGAACTCAAAATATGCATTATGTAAAAAAAACATGACCAAATTTTAAAATAATAAGAATAAATCCATACATTTTAAAAGTATTTTATTCCTCCTAATTTTTATATATTTAACAGTCAAAATTAATAAAATAAAAAATAAAATTAATACTTGTGAAGTTCAAATAGCTTTGTCATCTTTATAAATTTTCATTAGGTAGTCAATTTTGTCTAATTTGTGTACACCCTTATTCAGCACCAGCAATGAAAACATTTGGAATGAAATATTAGGTTTTTCATTTTGGGATAATTTAGTAATATATATTTTATAAGTGTTTTTTTTATGTTTTCCAACAAGAGTAGACAAAAGTAGACAAAATATGGCATAAAACCATGGTTTCGTAATTCAAGTAATACGGCAATAATTACGGCTTATTGAAGTGGTTTACAGTAAAAATACCTATTATAAAAATTGTAAAGTAGAACTTTTTTTACAATCGTAAGAAGCCTGATTTTCGATATTTTTATTAATTAGCTAAATAATTATTCAATAAAAAATTTAAAAAACCGTTATAATTTACCATGCGATATTGGACGATTGGAACAAGATATCAAAAACCGGAAAAAACTTTTCAAATATTTGTCTAAAAAATATTTTTATGAAATAATATGCACTAACGACTTTTTTTAACGAATTTTTATTAGAGTTTATGGAAAAATATCAAAAAACTAAACTTCACAACATATATAAGGAATAATGAAACTGCTAAAATGTGCGTTAAAATGGTAATGGTACTAGCATTGCTTCCTGCTAATGAAATTGATACAGGGTTCCAAGAAATAAAAAATCATGCAAGAATGAATAACATCCATCTCACAAGATTTTTCAATTATTATTCTCGGTAAATATTTTTTAAACAGGTACTTAGCTAATTAACTGTGGATATAAATTCTCAATAATATAAAAGTTAATGTTAAAAAGAATAATTGATATGTATAAAAATAAATATAATATATTATAAATTATAATATAGATATATATAATATTTATCATCTATTTTAGTCATTGGCTTATCCGGACAGGACCTACTGTTTTTTCTGTGTATGGTCAAGCTCGACGGACTAATTTTCGACTAATTTTCGGACTAAACTTCCATAATAAGTTGAAAGATACATTCCAAGTATGTCATCCCAACCTGTGGAAAGTATTAGGTTTGTATAAATTTATATATATATTAATATTTTATATTACAAGTAATTTATTTTAGGGCATTTAAGTGACTGTAGTAAACTACAACACATTGTTATTGATCAACTGGCAAGGGGAATGCAAGTTACAAGATCTATAAAAAATAAATATATATTAAATTCAAAAAGAATAAAAATGGCAACAGATCAACTAACTCTAGGTATTATAACCAGAAAAGAATTTTTAATAAAATGTTCACATGCAGTCGATGGTTACATTTTAAGAGAGGGAAATTGGACAAGACATTTTGAAAATAATGGTATGTAATGTGTATACATATTACTTTAATTATTATAATGGCATAGCCAGGAGTGGGGGAGGTATCCCACTGTCCTCCCTTACATAATCCTCGCTATGCTACTAATTTATTGTGTATATAGACATGTTTCTACCAAGTGTTCTATGCAGCACACTGCTAAACTTGATATTAAAAACCCATGTTGATTACTCATGAATTTGTAGTTACCAGTTATTTCTTATTTCTTTGATTATTTTTAATTTATTATATCTAGATAATAACACAGCTGAAACCTCTTCCGAAGATGAACACATTGTCTTACCTATGCAAGTACAGCAGGTTCCACCCAATGATGAAAATATAGGTAAACTAAACATGTGTCATCTTACAATGTCTTATAATTAGCGGTAGAATTTCCATGATTTTATATATTTATTTCTACTATATGCAGTTAGATTTATTTATTTGATTATTTTTAATTTATTATATCTAGATAATAACACAGCTGAAACCTCTTCCAATGATGAAAACATTGTCTTACCTATGCCAGTACAGCAGGTTCCACCGTATGATGAAAATATAGGTAAACTTAACATGTGTCATCTTACAATGTCTTATAATTATCGGTAGAATTTCCATGATTTTATATATTTATTTCTACTATATGCAGTTAGATTTATTTATTTGATTATTTTTAATTTATTATATCTAGATAATAACACAGCTGAAACCTCTTCCAATGATGAAAACATTGTCTTACCTATGCCAGTACAGCAGGTTCCACCGTATGATGAAAATATAGGTAAACTTAACATGTGTCATCTTACAATGTCTTATAATTATCGGTAGAATTTCCATGATTTTATATATTTATTTCTACTATATGCAGTTAGATTTATTTATTTGATTATTTTTAATTTATTATATCTAGATAATAACACAGCTGAAACCTCTTCCAATGATGAAAACATTGTCTTACCTATGCCAGTACAGCAGGTTCCAACGTATGATGAAAATATAGGTAAACTTAACATGTGTCATCTTACAATGTCTTATAATTATCGGTAGAATTTCCATGATTTTATATATTTATTTCTACTATAATATGCAGTTAGATAGTAGTACGACATCTTTACAAATTTATGAGACATATTTGGAAGAAAATAAATGTTCTTTGCATAAAAATACGTATTTTAGAAGGAATAATGTTTTATTAATATTCAATATTATGCTCGAGATTACTTGAGATTATAACTTGAGGTTATAACTCAATATTAAATTATTTTTCTGAAGGAAATAATAATTATATCATTGTTTTTATGTTGGTACATCAGCATATTAAAACCATTTCCACCAATTAAATATTTTTTTTTATTAGAACTGTAGTAAAAAAACTATTCAGCTCAAATATTATATATACTTAATTAATAATTATATGAGGTATTTATTTAAAGAGGTATAGATTCTATATTTTAAAACATACCGGTAAACCTATCATTTTACAAACTAAACTAACCTAACCTATCATTTTACATGAAATTGAAATAATAAACAAATATATTATAATATTAATGATGATTAATATGGAAATCCATATTGCAAACCAACAAGATCCACCCTTATCGTTTGACGGTATGATTTTAAACTAAGTTGAAAATGTTTCTTAAATGTATGGTTAAATTGAACTATTGAAAGATCTTTTAAAATTTTAGAAACTGAGGAAGACTACATAATTCCCGAAGACAATGATCCTCTTGACTTAGAGTATAGAGAAATTATGGAACAAGAAAGAATAGAGCAACTCAACAACTTACCATTTGCACCTGTTCCAGAAATACTACCGTTAATACCATTGATCTCTCAAAACGTGTGTGCCATTTGCAGATCTAGTAGAAGTACACATGCATTAATTCCATGTGGTCATCGGGCACTTTGTGAGGGATGTAAAGGGTTGCTTGAACAGCAACGCTGTCCCATATGTGTACAACCATTTTTTTCCATATTAAGGATTTGGGATGCCTAACTTTTTAATTATGTACTTTATAGATATACTATTTATTATGTACTGCCAAGCTGAGCTTTTATTTTTTTTTTTTAACATTTACAATGAATAAAAATGATCATCAATAATAATTAACAGCAAAAAAAAATTAGTTATTATTTTATATTTAATCCATTTAATAAAGCATTTCTTCATTTTTATGTTAGTCATTTTTTAGGTACTTGATTTTTGTTTTTATAAATATTGTAATCGATCATATTTTGATCGTACAAAATATTAAATATTTCATACATATATTTATTAAATTGTAAATAAATTGAGTGTTTTGAAGATCTTTCAAATTCATTAAAAATATAAACGTTTTTCACCTACACATTCTATTTGGAGAAAATGAGTGACGTTTGCGTTTTGTTCACTATAACTATGAACGTGCGTTTATGAACGACATTCTTTCCAAAAACTGGCTTTAATTAGTTAAAACTTGTAAGCAGTCTTGTAAAGTATTTGAATACTTGTATTAAAATATTTTTTGGTATTTTAAATACAATTTTTTTAAGTATTCTAAATACTTTTTAAAAGTATTTTTAATAAAATTTAAATACCACAAAGTTTGTTTTTGTAATTATTTTTCACAACAATTTGACATCAAGAAAAATAATATTGTTTTCGTTGAAATAATATTATAAATTCTAATCATAATAATTCTCTATCCTTAAAGTTGGTACATAGGTAGTACTTTAATTCAGTGGGGTAGCTAGGATTTCTTCAAGGGGGGGGGGCCCAAAAAAAAAAAATTAAACAAATAACATTTAAATAACAGTGTTTATCAATCTAAGGTGTTTTGATAAACAATAAACATTAAATTTTTTTTAATTAAATTTAATTAATATACCATTAAATTAATGGTACATAGCCAAAATTAATAAATTTACGATTATTTTTTATAAATTATATGATATGGCTCATGGGGGGGAGGCATGGCCCTTGTGGCCCCTCCTGGCTACGCCACTGCTTTAGTTGTGATTTGTTCATATATAAGTCATACGTATCAATGTATAAATAATAAAAATAATTTCCGTGTATAATGAAACATGAGTATATGTGAAACGCAAAATTTAGAAACGGTTTAAGTGCTCATGATTCACAACTCAAACTTTAGGCGTTACGTCCTTATCTTCTAAAAAGTTATGCTCACTTTAATAAATTGTATTTGTTATGCATATCCTTTGCTCTCAACAATGATGTAATTATGTAATTATTTAATTTAATAATTTAAATACATTCTATAATAATATATATTTGCTAATGAATTAAAGTACCTAAGCAAATATTATATTTATTATATATTATAATGTACAATAAATATAGGTACATTACATAGTTGTGAGAATTCACACCATTTCATTTTTTAATACATTATTTTATTAATTAAAAATAAAAGTAGGTAGTGTGAATGCATAGATTGGATAGACATTTATCATGTGTATTGCAATACATTTAAATCATAGCTAAGATTTTAGTAGGAGCTTAGTGTGTCAATTGTTTTTGACATAGTTGTTACATATATAATAATGTATGTAATAATAAGTAAACATAAAAATACTACAATAAAACATTGTTAACACAAAATACATTTAAATTTCTTAAAACAAACATGTAATATACTAATATCGTATTACCAAGTTGAATTACTTCAATTCATATTATAATTGTATCGTTTGTTAATTTTCTTTATTAACCTTTACATTGGCTTACACATATTAATATTATTTTTTGCAATATTTCAAACAACATTCAAAACAAGAAAAGATATATTATGATATTATAATAAATTGAATTTAAATTCCTCAAATGGTGTGACTATGCTTAAAATATTGTATTATTTGTCAACATTTTTATGTCGTTGGCATGCAAAAATGTTTTATACATGATATATATTATACATAGGTATCATTTATATTCTACTGTATAATTTTTTAAACTTTATTGTGTTTAATGTTATATTAAAATATAGTAAAATTAATAATTGATACCTATGTTTTTGTGAATTTGTAACTGATGTCACACATGCATATATACAGTGGCGTAGCCAGGATTATGAAATGGGGGGTGTTTAAGTATAGATTAAAACCAAGTTTTTACAGTTTCAGCTCTATTTTTATATTATTTTTTGAAAAATTCATAAAACATACTACAATTTTGGTAATAAAAAACTAAAAAATAAGTAGGTACCTAGGTATATAAATAATTTATACACCGGCTTACTAATTTTAATATAGGTAGATATACTATATTGATTAATGCGATGGACGGAGTACACTATTGCATGTTTTGGACATTTTTAAACTATTGTGAAATAAAACAACTTGATTTTTAAAAATACTGGAATAAAATACTAGGTTAAATGTTAATAAATATGTAATAAAGAATAACGTGATATGCGAACACCGTAATATACGAACACGTATATCTACTGATTTTCATTTCTTCGTACAATCTAGAATGTAGATGTCAATTATAGTTTTAACACAGTCTTGTCACAAAGAGACTTATAAAATCTTACATGCCATAACTATGCGAAAATAGGGCAAACGCAAACCGTATAGCCAAGCTCCACCAACAACTTTAACAGCCCTCCCAATCATTTAGGTACTAAATTTTTTTAATTCAATTTTATAATAGACAAAAGTATGGTTTTAGGCTTTGGCCTCCCCAAATCTCAAAATTAGAGCCTATTGCACCTCACCAAACATAATATTTTTAAAGATATTTTTCAATGTTATCCAAATATGATTTTTCCCGACAATTGTATGTACCTACATTTAAGTTAGAAAAATGCAAAATATGCGAAAAATAGCTCAAATGTACACTTTTTCTAAAATATGCAAATTCAAACTTTGTTTGACAAATTTATAACTTATCTAAAATAATGCGAGGAGTCCCAAACCCTATAAACAATATTTTTATTAGGGAGGAAAATGTCAATGGGGGGTGTTTAAACACCCAAAACCCCCCCTGGCTACGCCACTGCATATATATATAAATTTAAATTGATTTAAATTTGATAAAAAATTCAGTCGAATTACGATTCTAACTAAATGTTTTTTGAATTATTTTTCCGACAAAATACGATTCCAACAAAATACATTTCTGACCAAATACGGTTCCGGTAAAATACATTTCCGAAAAATTGCTTTCCGACGAATTATTTTTCTGACAAATTATGATTCCGACAAAAAACTTTCCGATGAATTATTTTCCGACAAAATACGGTTCTGACACAATATTTTCCGAAGAATTATTTTTCAGAAAAAATACGATTCCGACAAAAAACTTTCCAACGAATTATTTTTCCGGCAAAATATAGTTCCGACAAAATACGGTTCCGACACAATATTTTCCGAAGAATTATTTTTCAGACAAAATATGGTTCCGACAAAATACGGTTCCGACAAATCACTTTCCGACATAGTACAGTTCCAACAAAATATTTTCCGACAAAATATAGCCCCCCGTACCTAACTGTCTAATGATATTTGAATTACCTACTTTTATTATATAAACATTTAAACACTTACCTCACTGTAGCTGGTTTTCTTTTAAGTGGTTTGTAGTTCTTCGGGGTCGTGTTCGACAGTCGATATCACGATGACAATATATGTGTATTATTTTATGTGATCTGTAGGATTTCGTATATAATTTCTACCTGTGACTATCACCATATGCTCTTAAAATCCTTGCATTAGCAATAGGAGTACGTATAGTTTCTCCGCCAACCGAATGTAATTTAGAGTGATAAATATTTGTTATTACACATTTATATCTTGAACACAGCTCTTAGAATTCCTACATTCGTGACAGCTAGTACATATAGTCCAACCGTCGACCGAATGTAATTTAAGTTAATTGAGCACTTACTTCTATACTTATATTCTAATAAAGCTCTTAGAATCCCTACACTCGTGGCAGCTAGTACGTATAGTCCAACCGCTGACCGAATGTAATTTAAGTTAATAGAGCACTTACTTCTATACTTATATTCTAATGTAGCTCTTAGAATCCCTACACTCGTGGCAGCTAGTACGTATAGTCCAACCGCTGACCGAATGTAATTTAAGTTAAGAGAGCACTTATTACTATACTTGTGTTCTAAAATATAAATGTGTAGTAACGATGTGACAGACCTATAATATGATGACTGTCACAGAACCTTATGTTTTGAAAGACCAATGGATAGGTTAGTGTAAAAAGATGAACAATTTTAATTTAACTGATAAAGAGGCAACCAATTTAGACAGACATACCGGGTGAAGGAATGGTTCAATAAACATATATTGTATACGCATAAACGCACAGTGATGGCTTGGACAGCAGTGGAAAAAGATCGTGATGTTGACTGGCGTGGACCTTGTGCATCTCCGGAATAGACACTGGCGACGAGTCGATGCTCTGTGGCCCTTATATAATGTGATTTTGGTTGATCCCTTCTTCTTATGCATGGATTAAAGTATTGATATATTTTTATTATTTCGTGTGGTGTGACAACGGTACACCTGGTAATTTATAGTTTTGTTTTGACCGAACGTCTTGATTGGAGAATTATCGAAGGGGACTTGAAGTATATATGTGATGTACGTATATGTATACGAAAGAATGCTTTCATGATTTTATAATATACGGTGTTTACTGGCGCCGTTGATATTTGATTGTGTTGTCTCCACTAAATATCTGGTCGGAGAGGTGTAGAATATTATTTATGTGTTGCAGGTGCTGCGTGTATGTAAAAGAAGTGCGTATGTTGTAGGTATATATGTGCCTAATGCGTACCGCGTACGTATATATGCATATCGGACCACCCACACTCCATAATATGGTCCGTTTTCATTATTTGTCTCGTGTTTTATTTTAAGTCTAAATATTATATATTACATAAGCAATGGATACCTAATTTTGATTTGTTAATAAATAATTCATATTTCATACATGTTATTATTATCAATATTATTTATTCTAAACCTGGA